AAACCTACTGAGACAGAAAATGAAGAGTGGGGAGAGATCTTGTCAGAAACTCAATCTATAAGCCATCTTAAACAGCCAACAATGTTGCTTTGACTCCTCTCTAAGTTTAAATGCAACTGCAAATAAATAATTGAGGATATGTATCACTGAATAAATCAGGTTATGAATATCTAATTTATTGATGCAGAGTATCTGCTACTCTGAGGTTTATATTGCAAGTAGGTCACAAATGAAAACAATCCCAGTTTCCACCTCTGTGTGGACAGACAGGGGTTGACATTTTTTTTTCAATTAGCAATATTATAATTGCCATCCTAGAATTTGCTTAATTTCTCCAATTCAAAAGGAATCCAATTTTCTTTCTTAAACCTTTCTGCTTATTTAATTGGAGCTTAACATTAGGAAGAACTCTTTAATATTCAGGAAGCCTGTCTCAGATAGAATCATGTCATGAATATTCCCCACTGTAAAGTCATACTTCTTCTTTGACCTTGTTGTCATTGTTTTGTTACATAAATTATTCACCCCGGTATGTCTTATAGATTAAACACCCTGGAAACAAATTAAAAGCATCCCAGTGGCTTAAAAATGTCAAGTAAGTCTTCTTTTCTCCAAAAACCTCCTGCAAAATGGGATGCTGAAAAATAGCCCCACAAAATAAGGCAAGATGATGTGTAGAGAGGTAATTGCCACGTGAAATAAGCACCTCTACACTTTAAATTTTTCATATGACTCAGCTCTCATTGTTGAATTGAGACTGACATATGCATTTTGCACATTGATATGTAAAGGAGAGAAATCAATACTCCCTCTCTTGCCCTTTGCTTGGGGTAGACTGTGCCAAGCTTCCTTTACCCAAGAACTGAGCGTCCAGGCCGTAGTAACGCCTGTGCAGTTCAACAATGGAATGGGCCAACGTGCCCTGGCTACTACAATGGCTCCAGGTCATTCTCACCTAGAAGTTGGAAGAACGCTCATTCTCAAAGTATAAAAGGATTCCACAAAGGAACAGGAGGCTCATTGGCTCATTCCTTCTCACTAACAAAAGGAAAAGAACAAACAAACTTCTATTAAGCAAGTAACCTGAAATGCTCTCTGAGAAGGCAATGATTTTTAAAATCCTTTGAAACTACTGACACTCTCATAATATTTTCTATACCTAGAGTTACTTTACCTTTATAGATATTAATTCATTTCATTAAAAATAACCCATGAGGCCATTTTATCCCATTTGAATTGCAAAAGACGAAACTGAAGCTCAGCTAGAAGAAACTTGGACATTACACACAGACAGCAAAGGAAAAGGGGTCTGAATGAAGGAGGTGTGAGTCTGCTTTACACATTGCTGCCTCTGTCCTTAAGGATCTGTGTCCCAGAGTCTATGGCATGCTTACCATTTGATGTGGGCAAACTTATACCCCAGATTTGAATGTTTTTGTCGAATCTCAAGGACAGACTGGCTGTAACAAGGGGAACACAAAGAGAATTGATTTTCAATGTATGTAATTTGTTCCAGATTTATAACATACTATTGTTAGATGAAATGGAGCCCAAAATAGACTGTCTACATGAACAAAGGATATCCAGCCTCCTCAGCTTTGCAAAGGTATACTGATGTGCAACGGTTGCTATGAACATTGACTAGTGACAGTTAAGTAGGGTGTTTGCACGAAGATGAGGCCAGGACCTTAGGATCAAAATAAAACAAGAACAACAACAAGCAGTAGTAATAGCTCATTGAAACTTTAAAAACTACCGTAATGATACAGTGCATTGACTTCAAAATCATTGTGGTGATACATGTTCAAATGTCTGCTCAGGTGCCCTACCAAACTGATTTTTCTAAAATCTAGTTGATTCTGGGGTTATCTACAGCACTAACTGTTTTCAGAAGGCAAAACCTCCAATTGGCCGAGCTCCTGTCTCTATCCATGGTATATTGTGTTCCACTGTATCCACACACATGCCCACTAGAGACTCAGATGAAGACAGCTTTGCAGGATTAAATTCTTCAAAGAGTTGGCTCCTCCTTAAACATGGCTGCGTGTGGTTCTGGGGTAGAGACACAAACAATAGGTTTATTGGGCTTCTTGCTTCACCAATAACCTCTCCATTTAAGACTAATAATTACCATGGTAACCCTAGCAGCTTAGGAATCATTCAAGCATGCCGACTCTAGGGAGGAAAGAAAGAAAGAAAAAAAAAAAAACACAAGAATTTCAGAAATTTGTTTAACCCTTCAAGATCTTGTGTATTTTTCTACAGCAGAGTCCATGTTTTACTGAGTTTTTGTCAAAAATGTGAAAAAAAAGAACCTTTCATCAGAGTCAGGAAGGAGATGGGAATGAATAAATGAGAAATATCTCATTTAAAGAGGTACACACCACACGTCTTTGAAACCCCCTTTGCCTCAGACTCAGACAGGATTCCTTTGACACCTCTGCTCTCCGGAGGATTAGCGGAGTAGTGAAAATACTGTCATGACAGTCAGTGGCATCCGTACCCCGAGATGCTCTTTTTCCTCGTGCAGCATAAAACCTAGATGATGTGGGACATAAGCAGTATGGATAGCATGATTTGCCTGTGTTTGCACCCTAAAAGCAGAAGTCTGAGGCTGTACTTGTTATTTATTTGAGGCACTATTTACCGGGCGAGAGAGAACATGAGGTACAATGAAACCCACTACAAAGGTTTTATTAGGGGCTGGGGGTGGGGAAAGATGGACTGTGCAATAGGCCTACTAGAAACAAGCAGTGGAGAAGAGAGAGTGGGAAGTGTGTGGAATCTGCTTTTACATGCGTATATGGGTTTATGTAGCTCTGCCACACATGCACATAGATTACATAGGCCACAAGTCTCTGGGGTGATTAAGCATTCTGCCTGGACAGCACATGTGTGGTCATATAGCTAGGGAGTGTCTACAGATCATAACATACTAGTTCCCATGACTGAGTTGTCTGTGTTCGTACTATAGCTTGCACATTGACATTTGCCCTTCAGCATCAGATTTGAGAGCCAAATTAAAGGCTGAAGTATGTGCTACACAAACAGTCCACTGAAAGCAAATACTCCTAGAAAAGTCTTTGTGCTGAATGAATATGGAATTGGGTTTGAACTGCCATATTAAAATAATGAAGTCTGAGGTTATCTAATAGACTCACACAAAATATTTAAAAATACCTGATATTACTAGCACCAATTATTACTGAGTAGAGAAGGAATTCTCTACTGTGTAGAGAAGGAATTCTTATTTTGCATTCCTCTGATAACTACATTCTGCTCATGCATTTAAAAAGTTTGTTAGAGCAATAACAAAAAGGAAATGGAAAATTATACCATTCGTATACAGGTGTATTATTAATCTTGCCTCCAAGGAATATAAGCTTGATTCATGAAATTCCTAGATAATGCCTCAGGAAAAAAAATGTTGAATATTCATTTGTTTTATTCCATTGTTTACATCTTCATTAGATAATTTAAATTGCATTGTCTATGAACTATATAGCTCATCTGGTTAATTTATGCTTTCCATGAGATTACATTTTGCTGTGTGTCTGTTAAATTTTGAATTTAAGTTTCACCACTGAGTAAGACTAAGATAGCATTATTTTTAGAGAATTATGTATTCCATATTTGTCATAATAGTGGAGACACAAAAAGAGAAAATAAAAGATAAAGAAATCTGATTTGAGTTCAATACTCTAACAAAGACTTGGTATGGTGATTAATGCTATTACTAATATTACTTTCTGAGCACTTCCTTCCTATACTTATTCTCTTTAGAAGCAACAAAAAAAGGAAACATATCAAGGAGAGGGTCAGACAATTTTCACCCCACACCCCTTTATCTTCCCATCAAATCTTGATGCTCATACAGAGCAATGAGCCTTTGAAAATAATGGTTTGTGGCCTTAGTAACTGAAGGCAATAAGCAATATAGCCATGGCCAGATCTCATGATGGGAATGAAATAAACTCTGTCACTACTTTTTATCTTTTTTCCCAATTCTTTCACACCTTTGAATCATTCTTCATTTTCTAGCCGTTAGCATCGGTCTTCATTTTTTTTTTTTTTTTCAAAAGTGTTACACTAAGGTCCACAGCCAGAGGAAGGACTTTCAGGAGAATAAACAAAATTCTTTTTCAAAATTGCTGGAGATGAGTGTTTTGAATTCCATTGATTTAGATCTAGGAGTTTAAATGAAGTTTTATTCATGACACAAAGCCCAGTTTTAATTTTCACAATGACATGAAGTTAGTCTGAAATAACACCGCCTCTATGTGGCTCCAAAGCCTCTTTGCTTGGCACTCAGTCTTCCTCCTTGCAACCCTGTAGCCCTCCACATCCCTTTTTGTCATGAACATAGTATGTCAAGAGCATAAGAGACTAGTTCATTTCTTCAACAATGTCAGAATTTATTGCATAATACTAAGTTCACAAGCTACATTGATTTCATTGGGAACAATTAGCTAAGGAGTCCTGATTTCCTGTGGTACTTGGTCAAGACAAACACAGGTATCTGTTTGGTTGGTTGGTTTGGTTTTTGTTTGTTTGTGTTTTCTTTTTAATATTAGTATTTCAGGTAACTTTCAAATCACACATTACACATCGCATAATAAATCTCTGTGCATGTATGTGCATACATCTGTGCGTGTGCCTGTATGTGTATGTGTGTGTGTGTGTGTGTGTGTGTGTGTGTGTGTGTGTGTGTGTGTGTGTGTAGGTTATTGAAAGTCTACAAAGGTTTAAAGAGGCCACAGAAGTCTGCCATAGTTAGAGCGGAGCTGAGCTATAGGCTCCACTTGAGCTACAGGATTGAGGAGAAGGACCTCAGATGTTATCGAGGATGGGACTGGGTCTAGATGGACAGTGGTCAGACTGACAGGCTCCAGTAAGCCACATTAGCAGTGAGGACAGAGCCAAACTGGAGCCTCTGGAACAACAGAGAGTTCCTTCTATCTGGAGAAGTTGGACACATTTTTTTTGTGTGTCTGTCTTACCAGAAGATCTTCGAGAAAGAGTGAACTCTCTCGGATCTCCTTGCCTTCTCCCTGCCATAGCAACTACGCGTCCAGTGTCCAAGGTCCAGCCTTAGGCAGGAGAATCTTTTTCACGAAAGTTTCCTCTCTTAAATGTAAGTTTTCTAGGGAGAGAAAAGGAATTAAGTGAGAGTCCACAAAAATTACTGTATCTTAACTCATTTTCTTCCCCTAATGTTCTGCTTAAACAATATTGAGCAAATGGCATTTTAATATTGGAATAATTAGGAAGGCTGCTTTGGCAAGTTCACAGCATTGAACAGTTCCAAGTACAAGCACGGGTAGGTGAAAAACCTCCCTGATAACTAGAGAAGTTTGGAAAACAATGTCCATAAGCAAATAAGAAATGAAGACTAGAAAGTAGAAGCAGTTAGAAGAAAAGAATCTGACTTCCTTATTCTATTACCTAGGGGCAGACAGTGCTTGACATTCCACACAGGGCTCAAGGAACATAACCATGGTATGGGCTTGGTCCTTTGCCTTTCAAATTCTCTCACCTGGTCATCACATCTTTGCAGTGATTCCCAAACTATACAGCCAAAGACTTTTTGCTAGTTCCCAGAGCCCATGCTTGATGTAATAATAACTGCATCATCATACTACACACACTAAGTATATGTAATAACTGTACCACTGCACTGCACTTGTAGATATATGTAATAAGTAATAACTACATCATCATACTGCACATACTAGGTATATATAATAAGGAATAACTGCACCACCATAATACACATGTAGATACATGTAATAACTGGATCACTGTATTGCACTTGTAGATATATGTAACAACTGTACCGCCACACTGCTATGTAATAACTATACCATTGAACTGTACATGTAGTTATATGTAATAACTGCACCATTGCTCTGCACTTAGATATATGTAATAAGTAATAACTGTACCACCATACTGCACATGTAGATACATGGGATAACTGTAAACGTATATATATATATAGTAACTGCACCATCATACTACACACACTAGATTTATTTAATAACTGTACCATTGCACTGCACACAGTAGATAACTAATTACTAGTAACTCTGAACATGCTAGATTATGTAACAACTGCACCATAACTGTGGCCTTACCTACTTAACTGTGGCCTCTATGTTTAATCTAGTGGCTTGTTCTGTTCTCTGATCTTCAGGCAAATTTTATTAGGGTACATTATCTATCACCACATTTTCTACATTTTGATTTGCTTCTACCAGTCTGGATTCCTTGAAGTTAGTCAATATTAGGTTATTCCAGAGCTTTCTGCAACCAAGCACAAAGTCAGGAGTCACCTTCAGCCTCAGGAATGATCATTTCCAGGTCTATAATAACATATCACTTTCATCAATGATGTATTGAAGGAATGACAATGGGACAGTTGAATAGTGAGACAACATTCCACTAAAACACAACACTTCCTTTTTCAAAATGGCTGCAGCCACGAATGCTCACAAAACCAATGTAGAAAAACACATTTAACAAGAAAAATGTGGGCAGCTGTTGAAGGGCAGAGGAAAATTCCTGCGCTGGCTTCACAATTTTTCTACAAATCTAAACACAGTCCAAATGAAAGGTTACATGAAACGTTAGAAAAACTGAAAAAGAAAATGGACCATGATATTAAGGGTAAAAGTAAAAAAGCCTTGGTAGTTAATAAACTCCCCTCCTAGCTAGCACTGTGCGAGGCCTCATAGCACTTGATTTGCTTATTAATTCTGAGAGCACTCTCAGAAAGTAATCATTCCTACCTGAAGATGAAGAAGATTAAGAACATAGAGGATAAAAATATGACAACATTGCAGTGATAGGAATCAACCCAGATAGAATTTAACTCGGGTTTAGATTTCAAATTCTCTAGTATTTCCAGTTCTCCCTCCCTGTAGATTTCTGTCTGTCACACAATTCAACAGCTACCTCTTCCGTCAAATCTCCATCGCATGCATTTGATCTAGGATTTTATGTTTTGGCACAAAATATGCTGCCCGTGTGAAGCATCCCTTTCAGTGTTTAACTTTGTAAGGCAATGAGTTCAAGGAAAACCCAGCAGAGGAATCTGGCCCTCAGTGCTGTGATAGTTGCATTTTATATCAAATAGTCCTTTAATATTCCCTTTGACAAGTAGAATCCACACTCCCTCATGTTAAATTCTTAATGGCTTCCCTGGTGGTTGGCTTTTCTGATTTCATCATAATTTAGGCTGTTCATTTCATGTCAGTAAAATTGTCTGGAAAAGTATCACAGCCCTTGGCTGGAGTGATGTGCTCAGGAAACAAAGGAGTGTGCTCCCTTAAGTAAATAACTCACTTTCTTTCTCTTTCTCTTTCTTCTGCACCGACCAAACCTTCTGCTTGTGATGTTTCTACCAGTCCTCAGTACACACTCCCAGTATGTCAATAACCAACCTTCTCATGCTCTTTATTCTTAGACATTCCAAAGGATACATCTATTCTCAAAATCCCCATTGTGGTTGAGTGACATACCTCATGACATTTTGGGGTCCCTGAAAGTGTCATCCAATTGAGGTGAAGAAGGAAACTCAAGTCAGCAACACTTTAGCAGATGCTGGGTCAAAAAATCCCAGAGTCTGACCCCCCTAAGTTTATTTTTCTTACACGTTTAAGCACAGCAAAACTTTGAGGGGAAAGTCTCCATGTGACAGTTATCACAACAAAGCTTCAAGGGTGACTATATCTAAATTCCCTTGTGGAAACACACCTCTAGAGCAAAGCAGCAGTGACAATCACCATAAGAATGAATTCTGTTGACTGACAAACAGTATTCAGGGTATGGGTGCAGGGAGGAAGAATTTGTAAACAAAACGATGGGTTCTATTGATGGAGGATATAAAATACATGGAACCTCTTTAACAAGAGTGAATTCTACTCACTGAGAGACAAAGCCCAGGATTATGGACTACACACTGCTCATGATGTTAGGCGATTCAGGTCAAGGTTGGCTCCATAGACAACAAAAGATCACCAGGTTGCTAGACAGCATCCACTCCAGCCTTCCAGGGGAACAGGCATCAATCTTCCCTTGGGGGGAGAAAGGTCTGTGTATTTAACAATTCTGTTTTTTCTAATGCTTTCTGTAAGCTGTGCCTTCTACAATGACAGCTTTGTGTGTCCTTGTCCTGAAATTGTGTCTAGATCTTTGGTTACAGGGAGAGAATATTAATACAACACCTTTTGCTTCCGGCATTCGCAGCAGTTTGTATTTTAGTTTGCATTTTGTTCAGATGATGGCCTTACTTCAATTTAAAATCATGAACTCCTCAATTTGTATAGCAAGCGTTCACCCTATGAAGTGAACTTCTCTAAAATCTAACACAAAGGTATGCACTTAAACACTGGATGGAAATTTTTAAAAGGAAAGATTTGATTATTCAGCTGTCTTAGCTACTAAGACATTTAGCAGGTAGATGCAGAAAACAAAAGCTCTTCCTCCAAATCAGTGGCTTAAAACCTGTGGGTCATGATCCCTTCAGGGTGTGGAATGACCCTTTCACAGGGGTCACCTAGCACTATAGAAAAAGCACATATTTACATTATGATTCTTAACAATAGCAAAATTACAGTTATGGAGTAGCAAAGAAAATAATTTTATGGTTGGAGGTCACTACAACATGAGGGACTGTATTAAAGGGTTGCAGCATTAGGAAGGTTGAGAACCACTGCTCTAAGTCATAGACTAGCAATGCTTTTAACAGATCCAAAGGGACACACCCTTAATACTGCCCAGAGACAACAGCAAAGTGGCACAGATGCACAAGGAAAGGAAAGGGAACATGCCCTTGCATTTTCCAGCTATTACTGGTGGTCAAATATACTTGGTCTGCAAATTCCCTCTTATCTGTGATCCCCCAATGCTCTGCAATGCTGTTTGATGGCAAGTCATGAAGAACATGGGACAAGGCACCAGTAGTCAATGCTAGAGGAAAGGAGACTGTGAGATAATCCCCCAAACCAGACATGTTGACAGTGAGACAAGTGGCTTATTCCAATAGCTGGTAGGAAAACTAGTGCATAGTAGAAGACCAAGTATCATGGGTAAGCATCTAGGTAAGCTGAGATCTGCGGTCACAGTGCTGTCTTATATAGTGCATGTTTGTTTGTGATGGGGCCTCCCAACATAGCCTAGACTAGGCTCCAGCTTGTGATCCTCCTGTCTCAGCCTCCCGAGTGCTGGGTATGGGTATTATATACAAATATGAGCTATTATGCCCAACTATCATAATTATCAGTGTTCCCCCCTTTCATTCTCAAAGTGTACCCATTTAGAATAAATGATTCTATTTTTATTTCTTAATCTTTTCCCACTTTACTGTAGTTGTTTTTTTTTTTTTTCTTTCTCTTAGGCTCTTCCTACTCTTTGTACTTTTGACTCTTTGCTCTTTTGGGGGGCCTGCCACCCAGCTCCCAAATAAAGCACATGGAGTCTTATTCTGTCTTATGAATGCCCGGTCTTAGCTTGTCTTATTTCTAGCCAGTTTTTCTTAACTTATATTATCCCATCTACATTTTGCCTGTGGACTTTTACTTTTCTCTATTTCTGAATATCTTTTCTTTCCTTCTTCTTCCATATCTGGCTGTGTGGCTGGGTGGCTGGTCCTTTCTTTTCTCATTCCTCAATTCTGCCTTCCCAGATTTCTTCTCCTATTTATTCCCTCTGCCTGATAGCCCCACCTACCTCTTCTCCTACCTTGGCCATTCAGCTCTTTATTAGGCCAATCAGGTGTTTTAGACAGACAAAATAATACTGTTTCACAGAGTTAAACAAATGCAATGTAAAGAATGCAATACATCTTTACATCATTAAACAAATGTTTCACAGCAGAAACAAGTATAACACATCTTCAACTAATATTCCACAATACTTTACTCTTAAAAATTAACAAAATATATATTTTGTTTATGTGATTCATATCTATCAATATTTATATAAATTAAAGCTAAGACAATCATGTTTGTAGGTCTTCAGCTGTGTAG